TTCCAGAGGTTTACCCGGAATTATGAAAGACCAGACCTCCAGTGCTTCAAATTTAAATTTCTTATGTGCAGATATGCAAGTTTCTGGTCACCAATGCACAATGGCAATAAATACAATATTGGCCGGTTACCATTACGGGACTGGGGAAACATGCGCTAAAATGATCAGATAATAATGAATCACTCAAGCTTCAATGCTTCCTCTCCTCCACAAGGAATTGGTATGGTTTGGGAGGATTCACGATGAAGTTACCAACGGCTTCAGCTTTGGGATGAGGACGTCCCGTCGTGGTGCGAAATATGAATTTCTGCATGAAGATTGTCAAGAACAGGAAGAGTTCCATTAGGGCCAAGGACTCTCCTAGGCATTGACGCTTCCCTGTTGGTGGAAGGCAAGCTTTGTTTGATATGCGTTGCCGCTCTGACATCCAGAACGAGATGACCTACCGAGGAGGAAGGGGAGGAAGCTGGGGACTTTTGTCTTCACGGATCCATCTGGATTCAGGAATCTTTCAGGATCGAACTTTTCGGGATCGGGCCAGAACTTTGGATCCATGTGAAACGACCACATGTTCGCCAGGAATGTTGTTCCCTACGGAAGCAGTGGAACCTTCAATATTTCCAAATAATTCATAGAAAATAGTTGTCGACATACCGAGGTGAAAAATAACCTTCGGGAACCGATAACCGGCGACTTCGGTGTCTTCAGTGGCCAAGTGAGCCAATCCAAACGGAATCAGATTCGCTAACCGTTGTACCTCCATTATGAAGGCTTGAGTGTAGGGCATTCTGTACAAATTGGACGATAAAACGATGCATAAACAGAATAGGCAAATGAAAATGGAAAGGAGTAAGCATCCAGAACAAAAATGAATAACAGAAGCGAAAGGAAAAGCAACCTTACATTTTTTCGTGGCTTTTTCGAAAAATAAGAATTCTAAAACTTTCGTGAATGACATAAGCGCATATGTTTTTAGCCAAACCTGTGTCGGTCGTTGAGCGAAGGAAGTCGGTCGGGCCCAACAATGCTGTCGACTTCAGTCTGGAGTTTCTCCTGAATTTCGGGGTGGCAGAGGAGAAACAGGACGCACCAACGAATGGTATTAGCCGTCGTATCACTTCCGGCGATGAACAGGTTCGAGATGTTCACTTGTAATACATATTCTACGGGAGGGACGAGTCACGAATTAGCAATCATTCTAAATCTCCTTTTTTTAAAATCTTGTTTGCTCGGATACCTGAGAAATTAGGATTGTCTTCTCCTCGAGCCTTTTGCTGAGCCATTTCTGCAAGGTAGGCATCGATATAATCCTTAGGTTCTCCAGACAAAGGAAAATGTTTCTGTGTGCTCTTTCACCTCATCCTAATGAGACGAAATGCACATCTGAGTTAACATATATGTTAAGTTCATTAAATACTAATCCTTCCAGAAGTCCTTGCATCTTCATTTGAAAATAGATGGTTCAGTTCTGAAGCCAGCCTGGCAATGGTTAAATATAAAGACTAGTATCGGTTGACTATTAATCCCAAGTGGAGTGCATCTAGCAAGAGCATGTAAACAAAATCAGAAACTTGGTACAGTTGAATAAAACAGTGCTTCCGAGCTTGATTATGATCAGGATTGTATTGCCAAAATGGGTCATCGCCATCCGTCGTTGTTGAGGCTGTTATCTTGGAAACTGCAGGATCCTTGCTACAGCACGATAGGCTCAGGCACTAAGCGCAGCATAAGCAATTCAAAGCCCTAATAACCCAAGGCGGGGGGAGGGGGGGGGGGGCAGGTCACCTCGAGGGCGGAGGAATAGTGGAAAGCTGAGGGTGCACTGGTGGGGACTGGAGGCAACTGGGACGTTGTTGGGGTCGAAGTCCTACAGATCTTGAGCGCTTGGAGCGCTCTGAGGCATTGGGTGAAGAGACCTGTGGTTCTACGAGGGGGATAGGAGGCGTTGCCCAGTGCCTGCATATTTGTGAAATTAGCTACGTCCTATGTTCGCTTTTCGGTGAATCTCGTTCAGAGAACATGCTTGAGTTTGTTCTCGGGAAGAAAATATAAAAAACACTTATGAATGTGCAGCCACTGATTTCTGATATAATTTGATCAAAATTGGTAGATACACAGAAGATACCGAGAATATTTTCGTAATGGCGGCCATGTTGCGATCGATGCGTCTACTGGCTTTCAGTGCAGGCGGCCAAAGGTACACCAGCAGAGGAACCCAGTGGAAGCTTCCAACGATCCCTGTGTCGTGCAGCACTTCCATGAATCGTTTCATGAAGTTCTGCATCTTCGCATCGTCGTGAGGAAATTGCTTGTCTGTGAAAGATAGGCATGAAAAATTGCACGAAAAATTGCCAAAATTCGCCATGAAAAATTGCTAAATTGCATTGTGAACCTGCAGTCATTTTCCAGATGATGTTTAGAACGGCAAGATTGAGGCGAGGACCCAGATCTATAGACTTGTGCTGATTCTCCCTGAGGAATTAGCAGAGATCGAGGGCCGAGTCTTGAATCATGGAGTCCATGGCTTCCCTCTTCCCGAAGCCAAAGTCCTTCAAAACCCGCACGGTGAAGCGCCGGTTCTCCTCTTGTGCTGATTCTCCCTGAGGAATTGGCAGAGATCGAGGGCCGAGTCTTGAATCATGGAGTCCATGGCTTCCCTCTTCCCGAAGCCAAAGTCCTTCAAAACCCGCACGGTGAAGCGCCGGTTCTCCTGCCACATGCTCCCCTGCGCGGATATGATGCCTGGAACACGAGCCCGAGGTGCAGGAGGTCGAAGGTCAGTGGGCGTTCGTAAGAGGCAAACTTTATCGTTACAAATCTGGATTTCGACAGGGGATCGGATAGGAAAACGTCCAGCAACAGCCAAATGCAGCATGATATTAAAAAGAGAAATTCTGGTTTCGCAGACGGAGCGAGAGGCGCCTGAAAATTATTGTCTTTAAGCAAAATCTGAGAATCGAGAAAACTTTTGCAACGGTAAAATATTACTAAATCTCAACTCTTGGTATCCGATTATATTTTTTCTTCATCGACACGATGCGAGAAAACGAGAAAATGAAAGGCCAGGATCTCGTTGGACCCCGACGAGAAATCCAGCCCGCTTAAGACGGATACTTATGAGGTACCCAATTCGCCGAAAGTGACTTGTCGCCCGATGAGGGTGTCCGGTCGACCGGAGATCTCCGGTCGTCCGAAGATGTCCCGCACGAGTTCCCAGTCGCTCAGGACCACGATCTCCTTGTGGAATATGCCGATCGTGAAGATGTCCCCGTGTTTTTTCCTCAGTAAGTCCATTTTTATGTACTGCGGCTCACCCAAGAGGAAAGGGACCGATCCGAGCAACGGCACGCCCCATGGACCTGGAAATAAGTCACTTGGGAGTAAATTTGCATAAATAATCTCTGACCCAGTCAAAAATTCCGGCTGGATCCAGTATCCAGTATGGCTGGATACAGACCGGAATAAGGTGGAACTGGCCGGTAACTTCTGGATTTAGCTGGTCTTCCTTACCAGATGAGAAGCTGGAATTTGCTGGTATGAGTGCTTTTACTTTCCACTGCTACTCAAAGAGAATAAACAAGGAGGGACTCTTGTTTGCGAAAACTTGAAGAGATAAGCAATTGTTTTGACGCTAAATTGCAGAAAGCACAGTGTTTTAAGTCTTATTTAGAGGCTTTGAAGACCTCAGGCTCCAGGTTGACTTCACGTTTTTGGCGCATCAGTGGCAAAAGACCTAGGACCAAGCAAGGCTCTAGGTTGGCTTGCAATTAATACCAGCTGTAGGCAATATTGGAAGCGGTAATACCGGTTAAAACCGCTTCGTTACAGAAGGATTATAACGGAACGGTAATAACTACTGTATAGCTTGACTACCCAGCTAGGTTACATGGGAGTTTTTATATTACGTAAACTTTAAAAGCGAGAAATGAAGTTCTTATCTGGGCCACTAGATGGCAGCATGGTTCTCGCTTTCCAGAATGTACCAAAAAATACCTTTCCCCCCTTCTCTAGATGCGTTATTCACAGCAGTTCATAGTACCTCGATATGCATATTGTCATTTCTCATGAAGGCTATCAATCGCAGCCGTCCTTAGAGTAATTATTATCTCCATATTCAAGACAGAATCATGGAGTTCAGGAATTAATCAAGCTAATATTGCCCATAAAATCCCATGTCTAATGTCTCTATGGATCCCCAGTACTCACACGCTATTCTAGTATCTGCAACCTTCAACCATCTCCATCTCGTCAGCACAAGGACGAGACTAATGATTCTAGTACGTATATACTCCTTAGAGCGAGAGAGTCGCACATCACCTCAGGTGTATCAACATTGATGCAGCTGTCCGATGACCTAGCTTATCTTCAAGCTGGATCATGCAGTCTTCCAGCCAAGATCATCTCCTATTCCAGTCTGGTTCAAGAATTTTATCGGCTAAAGTACTACGGTTTCCATCTGGAAACTATGGAAATGGTCCGAATTTACAGATGGAACCATCAAAAAAAAATCCAACCAGAATTTTTGACTGGGAACAAAGATTTAAAAAACTATAATTTTCAATTTCTTCATTTTTCGTAAAGAAATTTGGTTACCCGGTGGAAGTTTGGACCAAAGCAGGAGCTTCTTCACGAAAACGTGAAGAAGATAGACGAGCAGAAAAGAAGTGAAAATAAGCGTAGCACTCATCCTTATCAGTCGCTCCGAAATGCACTGAGACTTAACCACGATGGGAGAGTCTCGTGGGAGAGCCTCGGCTTACTGCGTGCCTCTGATAAACACGACCGGCCGTTCGTCTCTTCTGGACCGGGGATGTGGATGCACGTGAATGCATGTGAATATATGTGAATATATGTGAATGCACGTGAAGGAGGGCGATTAGGCGGCTCCTTGCGTTGGGATGCAACTCGGTCGAGTTTGCATACCTTCATGCCGAAGCTAAAATAAAGTTTTTTTTTTATTTATTTAAGGGTGTATTCTGATTGTGATTTGGGCGAGGTGCGACAGGGGACAATCTACGCCTTTCACACGATTCCTTTCAACGCAGTGACAAATCTCTTTAAAGCGAAGTCTCTCGTGGGTGCTCCGAGGACAGGTCTCACTTCCCCCCGTTCCTGGTCGGAGAATACAATCTTGGCTTGTGAGAGTCGATTACTTGCATGAAGCAGTCAAATTTCGACCAGCGAAATTGTGACGAATGGCGTTCGTTCTTCATTTTCGAGTCCATTTCGGCTAATAGAGTTCTGCACGTCCAGGAGTTCCGATGTCCTCGATCCCACGGCAGCATATATACAAACCCTCTTCGATCTCGGCACTCACTTGTAAGGCAGGTGAAGACGCGTGAGAGAGAGAGCGTGAAGGCGCGTGAAGGCGCGTGAAGGCGCGTGAAGGCGCGTGAAGGCGCGTGAAGGCGCGTGAAAGTCGCGTGAAGGCGCGTGAAAGTCGCGTGAAAGTCCACCGTTCTCTCTCGCAGTTCTAAAAATTGACATTGATATTCCAACTTGTGGACAAATAAACTTTAGCTTGGCACGATTGAATAATTTGGCGGTGTACCCACTCCTGTAAAAGCTCACCCGGGCCACAGTCACGTATTCCTGATGTAAATATCCAGAGGAACGAATGGCAGTCGGATGATTAACATGGCTTGCATGGCGCGCTCATTGGGAAGGCAACTACTTTCCTACAACCAAGGCATAATTTACCTTCGGGTGGGATATTTTCCCATTTCTGGGATCATCAAATAGAGACAACGCATTTTTTCGAAATTTCTTGAGGATGCACAACTTAAAAAAAGGAGCTATATACAAAACATCATACCATGTAACCGCAAAATTACTCTAGGACGTCCCTGAACTTTCCTTGGCATGTCAGAATTGTTATGTGGCAACATATTTTTATTTCATGTTCAGTTTCTCCTGTTGTTGGGACGAGATACATAATAATACACCTCTTGGTCAGAGGTGCCACATTATGGCCTATGGCGTAACAGCCAGAGATTTTGATTGTTGTCCCTTAGGTCATTATACAAGGTAATTCGAAAGTTGTCCCCGCCTTTTCATCTTTGATAATTCATGACTGAGTTATCAGATTACAATCCGGTTTAATTTGGCGTAACAGCCAGAGATTTTGATTGTTGTCCCTTAGGTCATTATACAAGGTAATTCGAAAGTTGTGCCCGCCTTTTCATCTTTGATAATTCATGACTGAGTTATCAGATTACAATCCGGTTTAATTCATTCGAAAGGCAATACGTGCCTTGGAAGGTTGATTTCATTCCAAAGAGAGGCACTTTTTTGAAGTTACTGTAAAAAAAAAAAAACTAATATGTGAGAGTCGTGAGAGATCAAGCTCGCTAAAGCGCTTCTCTCGCTCCCTGCTCGCCTCTTGCATGCAGGAGAGGCTGGTGCCGAAGTTGAAGAGGGTTTGTATGTATGCTCCGGGTAATGGATTAGACACGGATCGGGCGCGGATCCGGCTCGGATCGCGACACCGTACACCCACCCTTTCTTAAAATAAATCCATGGAAAATATGGGCTAATAAAAAAAACCAGCCACGTGTTTTAGGCTCCTTCACATTCGTTTGCGAAGCTACGCGAAGGCCCACAGAGGCGAAAAGAAGAAAATGGATTAAATTCTTCGTTTACCGAGTTGGCTAATTTCAATTCGACAATGATGGTCTTCCGGAGATTCCTCAAAACTTCAGCAGTCCCGAAGACATCAGAGTCCCTCGCGTCCATTACCCGAGTACCAGAGCTTCAAGTAGTTCGTCTCTAGTTCCGGTGGGCCCTCCACCCCACTCTCCCCCTTTCTTTCGCAGACTGGACGAAATTACTTATAATAAAAAAATAAAACAATTTTTGCCACCCTTCAGGCACAGTGCTTTCAGACTCAAGGTCCTTTCAATAGCTCTCGCTTTAGGGAATTCGCCTGAACGCGAGTAGATTGAAACTCCAGTCTCGACGACGAAATCTCCACGTCCCGAACCGAATCTTCAAATTAAACGCAAATGAAATGAATGTGTGTCGACAGCGGCGAATTCTCCTGGAAGATCTCGGGTCATCTCGGGTCATCTCGGGTTACGAAAGAAAACTTGAGTCGCGGTAATTTTAGGCGCCAAGTGAATTCATCTCGAGATGAGTGACGGCTTCGGAGGCGATTCGGCGATCGTTTCTTAGATTTTTACCGTCAATATCATTCATGGCTTCTTCAGGTGGAAGATAAGAGCCGTTCACACAGAACAGCTTTGTACTGGATATTCAAGAAATTCCGAGAACTTTCTTTCCAATCAGATAATTGGTTTTAAATTTTCTTGAAATAACAGTCAATTCAGGCTATATCATATGTTCAAATCTTCCGGAAGGCAATTAGAACCGAATTTTTTTGCACACCAAAAAAAAAATTGGCGTGCACCAAAAACGCTTGGGAATAATGCCAAACTCTATCCCTCGTAAGAAATTTCTTAAATACCCTTGGACGTTCTCTCACGGGGACGTATCGCCCAATGGATGGGACGATTAACGAGAGTAACTTGCGAATGTGCCCCAATATGAAAAAAAACTTTCATTACGTGGTGCCGGTGGCCAGGATGGCACCTGACCCGGCACCTTGGCTTCAAGAATGAAAGCGGGTTGGATCAGATTGCAAAACCAATCTTCTCTGCTCTTTGGTTGCCCAAGCGATCCGTCAGACAAAAGCGACAAGATTAGGTCAATACGCGGCAACGAGAAAGACCTATCACAGACTTGGGGATGGGGGCTTGGACATTAACAGGATGGGAATGAGTTCCACACTAGGCCTTGTAGCCCTTCAACTATAACACTTTGAGGCGCTTGGGCACGTTCCCTGAGCAACGCGAGGCACTTGAAGTCAGGCCACTAGAAGGGTGAGACGTGGCAGGGATGGAAGCAGAACATATTCATGGACTCGATGAATGGGAGATGGTTTCTTGACTTGGAGTGGACCTTTGGGGAATGAGTTCTCCGCTTCTGCACCAGCACAAACATCAGCCCGTTGGTGCAGGTAATGTCTCATGTTAAACGTGAAGTAATTCACATCACCAAGATCCACAAAGGACAAAAACTGGAAGGATGGAGCAAGCACACCAGACGGAGATTAGAAGAAGAAAGAGAGC